AATGACGTGGTTATCCCCGCCATGATCGTCGTTCCTCGCAGAAGGGTATGTTCCTATTGCTCTAACTATTCAAACTCCGAACAAAAATCATTGTTCTTCCTATTCAGATCCTTTGTTTACATGTTGGGTCTCTCTGGTTCGGTTTGGTTCGATTCAGTCTAGAATTGCTCATTTTGATTTTTTTTTCTCGTTTTCTTTTTCACTCTGTCGCCCTGTTTATTTTCATGTGCTTGTGTCTGAACCATGGACAAGGGTCTGTCATTTTTGTCTGAATTCTACAGTGAAATTGAAAAGTGGTTTTTTTCTCTCGTTCAGACCTCAATATTTTATTACAATTGTGGCAGAAGGTCTCGTCTTTAGACAAAACTCACTTGAAATCAGTGAATTAATATAATGACTCTTATGACTTTCCTTGGCGTGAAGTTCACATTGCTGTTTGCATAGATCTCTGGACAACGGTATTACTATCCTCAATCCTCAAATGTTAAAATATTTAAATTAAATAACAATTTTTTCCACCTATGAGTTTGAAACACTCGACATCTTTCATGGCCCTCCATGGTCGAGGTAAATTTTTTTTTTTAAAAGTTTTTAAAGATCATGGGTGATGCAAAATGTTCACTTTAGTCTGTGTTACTGGTTAGTGTATGGTAGTAGGTGCATCTCTGAAGGTGGGGCCTATCCAGAGATGACTTCCATGAGTCACGCACCAAAGCGTGATGATTTTAAAAACACATAAAAGCTTGTTCACGAGGATACATACTACTGCTAGCTTGGTTCTCTTGAAGAATCCTCGACAAGTTCTTTTAAAATAAATTATCTTTCGTCATAATCAATGATCTCTTTCGTGTCACTAACTTGTTAAACAAACAAAAAAGGGACTTGCACTAAAAATTTCACTTTTGGCTTTATCGTCCCTGTCAAGGGTCAGTGGGTCACTAAATAAAGTAAACGATTTTAAGATCGTGGGATCTACTGGTATCATCATGTAATATAAAGATAAAAGAGGTCTTGGAAGGAATCATAATTCATAAACTTGAGAATATTATTATGTTTCTGACTTTTGACGCTGCGAAGCCTCAAACGTTATCAGCTTTTGTACCATTCTTGATGCCGTTAATCTCGTCATCAATAATTTTCTTGCCTTCTGTATTGTTGTCTATCAGTAAACGGTAATATCAGTCAAGTAAACGATCATGATGATATGTTATTGAAGAGTTATTATGGACTTTACAGACGAAGGCGCGTAAACAGAATGAAAAGGAAGGGAAAAAGCAGAATTGGGTTAGTGATGTGAAGGAGCCATCATCAAGAAGCCCTAGTGCTGCAGAACCAACTATGAAAAAGGCAACCCCAAAACCTGTGGACGAAGACCTCTATAAGATATCACCAGAGCTACTTTATGCAAAAACCAGAAAGGTCTGTAAAACAATACTTCCTCTTTTGCTTACTGAAAAAAAAACCTGAATATTTCATGCAGCTTTAGACTAGAAGGAAGTCTTTATTTCCATTTTTCCCTCTTTCTGATCACTTTCTTGCAGCTTTAGAAAAAGCTTCTTCGTTTCTTTTGCTCATTTGCTTTTCATTCTGTTGGTGCAGAAGAGAGGGTTTGGCTTCTTTTCCAGCTGCTTGATGCCGACTTGCTCCGTCTGAACCATTAGATTATTATTAAAGTAACTGTGAACTCCGAGAGAAAGAGAGAGACTATGAGGATGAAGATTTTTTTGTCTGGTTTATGAGCTTTTAAAGTTTAAACCCTAATATGCCTATGTACAGAGAGAGAGAGAGAAGAAGATGATTAGGGAAGCGTCTTCTTGGGCTTTTGAGTTTGATGTTACTATGAAGGGTTTGGCTTCAGGTTAACATTATTATATTATCGTAGTGTATTTTGTTTGTGTTTTATCAGAAGGTTGAATCATTTTGGGTTTAGCAGTACTGAACTTTTTTATGTGAATGTGAAAAGGCTGTGTAAAGTGAAAGCAAAGGGACAAATGTTCAACTTATATGAGTATATTCCTTCCTCCAACTGCTTTAGTTGGTACGAGCATTATCATAACTGATGATTGAGTTTGATGAATTGATTCCAGGCCATTTCACTATGTTGTTCTGTTACTTTTATGAATTTGCTAATCATAATTTGGTATTTTGTGTAAATAACTGTTTACTAGTAATTGGCAATTAACAAAACATCCCCCTTAAGCCTGTTTATTTTTTTGAATATTTTATCTTTTTTTTTAAATGTAGAGTTGACTGAGAAATTGACTAGAACGCTTGCAAAGCCATATTTTAAATCTATAATGAGGATTTTATTTATTTATATCTTTTCTTAGATAATCATGTCGAGCTTTCTGTTTTCCTTGATTTCGGAATGTAGAATTGCATGGTCTTGGTTGGTTCTTGGCTTGCATTTGAATATTGTCTTTTAAAAAAGGGTTTGTTGAGGAGGTTATTTTAAACGAGGAGGTTTTTGGCATCTAAAAAGCACGTGTTTATTAGTATTTTATCTCGTACACACACACACACACATACATGTTACTTAATAAAAGGGTTACAAGAAGGGAGATGAAGCCTCAACAAAACAAAAGGCTAGGAGCAGTGTGGCTGTTGCTGTTGGCAGTGAGAGAAAGCTCCGACGAATGTATTGATACCGGAAATGTCCCAGGAATGAATGGCTTGGGCCCAAGACTCGTAAAGTCGAGAGAAGCAAATGGCTTTTTTATCCCCTGAAAAAAAGAAGAAAAAGATGATAAAATACCTTAAAAATTGTTAAAAGATAAATCAATATAGGTGAATTTTAAAATATCAATTCAAACTCCCAATACTATTTTAAAATTTTAAAATATTTCACAATTACATAAATGTTTTTTACTATTTTTTTAAAAAAATATTACTGCTGCAGTACCTTTAATCAGATTCTGGCCACTGGAACTCTAGCACTGGCTTGCTGTCAGAGTTCTGGTGATTAGTCACCGCAGTTTCAGTGACTGCTATCTTTTTTTAGCTCTTGATTATGTTTGTTTTCAAAACTTAGATAACTATTTTTGTTTAGCTATTGGTTATTCTAATATTGTGATTGGTTACTTTTATTTTTAAAAATGTGGTGACTAATCTTATTTAGCTATTAACTATTTTTATTTAGCTATTGACTACTGTTATTTCAAAAATTTTAAAAAAATATATTAAGTGTCATTAGAAATCTAATGACTACTTTTTGTTTAATTATTTACTACTATCTTGTGTAGCCAATAGTTATACAAAAATAATCACCATAATTTTTAAAATAAAACAGTCAATAATTAAACTAGAGTAAATAGCTATATGAAAGTAATTACTAGAAGTATGGGCAATGTTGTCATCTTATAATATTTCAAAATTCTAAAATGATATAAGGGATTGATTTAGAATTTTGATATTCACCCATACTAATTTATCTTTTACTTTTTTTTAAGGGTATTTTAGTATCTATTTCTCAAAGAAAAAACAGGATATTTTCTGAAAGTGGTGCTCAGGGAAAAGGGCGTGCAATAATTGAGCAATTCTTTTTTACATCGGGTGTTGGGCGAGAGCGTCTGGATTAGCGTAATTTTACAAAATTCAAAATAAGTATATAAAATAAATTTTATTCTAATTTACGTAAAAACATTTTTAAAGCACTTTTAAAGCCACTTTGAAAGTTCCCAAACTCTTTTCCTTACTTTCCACCTTCAATTTCTAGTCTGCATTTCTCCCACAAAAATCCTATCAATTTCAAATGTCATCGGTTCATCAATCATCCATGCATGGGTGGGACAGATGGAGAGGGAGGGAAAGCATGAGTTGAAATTGATTCCAGAGAGATGATGACGCGTGGCGTGATTGAGGGAGACTGGATGACTGAAGTCCATTATAATTACTTCGACAAAAGACAGTCCGTTTTTATTATAATTACAACTTTAATATTTTTAATTTCTAAAATAATAATGCTGACATAAAAATTACTATTCAAAAATATCAAGAAAACTGAAAAAAAAAACTTTATGAAAGTAAAGATCAAATTGTTGGCCAAGAAAAAAAGATCAAATTGAAATTTAATACTACCTCCAATCCTTAATAGAAAAGCTACCTGATTAATTTGAGTAGATTAAGAAAGTTTGTTAAATTAGATTAAAGATTTATTATTAATAGATATAATTAAATAGCTTTTTTACTTGTAATACTAGAAAAGTATGCATTTTTGGTAGCTTTTTATAAAGTATAAATTATAAATGTAGTTTAACATCTTAATGATTTAAATAAAGATAATACTAGTATTACCTCATGTACTTAATATGAGAACCAGTTGACTAATTTGAGTAAATTAAAAAATTAGTTAAATTATTTATTTATAATAAATAGGTGTTATATTTCTTAAAATATTCTTATTCATCAAGTGTATAGACTAGATCTATCATTATTATAAATATTATCTTGAAAAAAAGAATAGATAATGAGAGATGAAGTATATTAAGATCTTATATTTAATATTAAAATAAAAGTTAAATAAGTTCTTATATTAAGGACTGAAGGTGACATATCACATAAAATAATAAAACAATTTTTTTTTCATTTCAATAATAAAACAGTTTTAACACTTTCTTTTGGCAAACAAATAGTCAGATAGTTTACAATTAATATCTTATATGAAATACTTAAATTAAATATTAAAAATGCAAGGTATGACTAGGCTAAAAAGATCTCACCGTAATAATTTGAATTCATGATTAAGGCAGTGATCATTATTAAGTCACTATTTATTTAATAATTGTTTAATAATTTAAGCAACGTTCTCAAAGACTTTCGGGGCTTAATTCATTATTGAATTTAATTTATCTGAGATTTTGCACGTTCAAACTTACATGCCAATTTGAAATCGCCTTCAACGGTAAAAAGGAACCGACCATATCACAATAATTTGAATTCTCTCTCCCCCGTTCTCACTCACGCTCCCAGAGCAACTTTGAATACTCCGTCCCAAGGCGTCCATCGCCTGCTTCCCTTTCCAATTTTCTCATCGCCTTCGGAAATGGAACAGGGAAGGAGCATTATTCTTTGATACCGAATTTTGATTCTCATTCTCACGCTTTTTCTTCTCCCTTTCCAATCTGCGTTTTTCATCAATATCAGAAATAGAAGGAAAATTCAATTCAGACACAAGCAGATATAGAAATGTCTGGCCACTGGGGAATTCTTGTTTCAGATCCCGGGCTTCAAAATCAGTTTACTCAAGTTGAACTTCGCAGCTTAAAATCCCAAGTATGTCCATCTTCGTTTCGATCCTCTGTTTTTTGATTCGCAGAAAAGTGCACAAGCGAACTTTTCCGTCTCATTCATGCATGCATATTATTTCGTCACGGTTTATCCTGCACGTTTGGATTTCTGTTACTGTTCTCCTGTTTTGATCCTACGGACTGTAATAATTGTCTAAGTTTGGTGTAGTTCATGAGCATGAGGAGAGAGAGTGAGAAGCTCGCGCTTAGGGACTTGGCTTCCAAGATGTCGACATTAAAAGTGGTGGGAGAAAATCTGAGTGAGGAGGAGAGAGCTGCTTCTATCAAGGATTTGTATAAGAATGTAGACGAGGAGGTGGATTTTGAGTCATTTCTCAAGGTGCGTTTCGTCATCTTGGATAGCAACGTTTTAAGCTAGCATATCATCTTCGCGATGCACCTGTTTTAATTGCATTCTTTTCCCCTGTTCCCGTTGACCTTATATTTCTTTCCAATCTTTAAATATAATTTATCATGTATGATTTGATTGCTAAGAAATAGACAAATCGATGATAGGTTTACTTGAAACTACAAACTCTTGCAAGTTCCAGAATAGCGGGTAGTCCAAAGAATTCCTCGGCATTTCTGAAAGCTGCTACCACTACATTGCTTCACACAATCAGTGAATCTGAGAAGGCATCTTATGTTGCACATATAAATAACTATCTTGCTGAAGATGAGTTCCTCAAGAAATACCTTCCCATTGATCCTTCAACAAATGATCTCTTTGAGATTGCAAAGGATGGCGTTCTTCTATGGTACCATGTTTGTTCATTAGTTTTCTTATTTTGCACTTCATGAAAATTCTGTTTTTAAAAAGAATTGCACATTGTTGCAGTAAGCTTATCAATGTGGCAGTTCCGGGCACAATTGATGAACGAGCAATCAATACTAAAAGAGTACTCAATCCATGGGAAAGGAATGAAAATCACACGCTCTGCCTCAACTCCGCCAAAGCAATTGGATGTACAGTAGTCAATATCGGCACCCAGGACTTCATTGAAGGACGGGTATGTTTGTACGCCTTTGCAATTTTTATAATTACCAGCAGCATTGTTAGATCAGTTCGTAACTTATGTACATAATGTAGTTTCATGATGTGATACATTATAATTCTTATTTTCTTCTTTTAACTCCTCTGCAGTGTCACACCTGTTTATGCTGGGTCGAGATAATTCCCAGAATTTTTGTCATTCATCTTGTGTAATAACATGCATGTGGAAATGTGGTGTCATTTGTAGTTTATGCAAGCAATTTTCAATAAATCATGAGCTTTAAAGTTCCACAAGAGGCTTAACCTTTTTTGAACTGGTAGATAATTTTCTATTGTGAATGTTGCAAATATATTTGTAATGAATGTGGAACAAGAGTCTGAATGTATATGTCTTTGAATAAGTGGGTTAATATCCCTTTCTTATCCTTGTTTTGCATTTTTATTTAACCTGGTCTGATTGCTTTTGAAAGTTTTTCAACCCAGTTGAAGTAATTCTACTTTTTTCCCTTGGATTTCAGCGTCATCTGGTACTAGGATTGATTTCACAGATTATTAAGGTAAATTCACGTGGGTAAATGAGGATTTTCATTGTGTGGTTCATAATTTTACAAGATTTTGTCATATTATATGAATTACATGAATAGATCTGGAATATTATTTATTGATGCAAAATATGATGCTCCTAATAGATACAATTGTTGGCAAACCTCGACCTAAAGAAAACTCCTCAGTTGGTGGAGTTGGCTGATGATAGCAAGGTAAAGGTTTTCTTTCACGGTTGTCGGTTAAGTTGAATGAACTAATACAAGAATTGTTTGTTTTATATGTTTATCTTTCTGTTTTTAAAACTAACAGGACATGGAAGAGTTAATGACACTACCTCCAGAGAAAATGTTGTTAAGGTGGATGAATTTCCACTTGAAGAAAGCAGGGTACACGAAGATAATTTCTAACTTCTCCTTTGATGTAAAGGTAAGTGAGAAACTATAAATTAGAATGCGTTCATAAGCTACCCTTTACTGAACAGCCACGTATTACACATAGTTGTTTTTCATCCATTTGGTTTTCGCGGGGATTGTTTTACGATTTTGTAGGATTCTTCTGCTGTATACTGCTGTGTCTTAGGTTCAAACATAAGTAACTTGTACGATTTAGGACGTACAAGGAATTATCTTATCCAACTCCAATCAGTATTATGAAGAAATAATTATAACCAACTTTTTAAACATTTATTGTACTTAGCTGCTGTTTGAGTCTCTGGTTTTGAACCTGCAGGATGCTGAAGCTTATGCTCATCTTCTAAATGTCCTTGCTCCTGAGTACACCAGTCCATCAACATTTGCTGTCAAAAATCCTTTTGAAAGAGCAGAGTTAGTTCTTGAGCATGCGGAGAAGATGGGCTGCAAGCGATACTTGACTGCAAAAGATATAGTTGAAGGTTGTCAAAACCTTAATCTTGCTTTCGTTGCACATATTTTCCAGAATAGGTGAGAATCTTCTAACACAATATGGTATACATGTATAATAGTGAAAATTTTCCCCCAAGTTCTCTATTTAGTCTGTGCCATTTGATAAGTGTCAGCCTATCTGTTTTCATTCTTGACAAATTCTCCCCCATTTTCAATTCATCTGATGGAAGCATTCTATCCAAAACACTTGCGCATTAGCTCGTACCAAGGGATAAGGTTTGGGCCTCAAGTAATAGGTAGGATCTAAGTTTTTAAGAATTTGAGCATACTCCATGCCAATGTGCGCTGATATCAATTGACTGTCATCGATTGGCCATATTTTTATCACTTCTTGTGTTGTGTAAAGCGACAAAGGATCCATGCTTAGTTTATTAAAACATACAAAAGTTGTTTTTATCACATCCTGTTCTTCAAGGCTCTCTAGCTTGAACCATGAAAACAAATGTCAATTTAATTAGAAGGACGAAGGTAGGGAGTAAATTTTGACCTCAGAGAAGCTCTTATACCACATCGAGGATGTGTATTCTGAGAAGCTTAAGCTATCATGAGAAGTCCATGAAAGTTTTTTCCATCACCGATGCTGGTAAAATTTGAAAGATTCAACCATTGCTAAGTTCTTTCAACTACGCATACCAGCTTATTCAAACATCAAGCTTCGATGAATGCAAGCTCACTCACTTTTTCCTTATAGGAATGGATTTTCAACCCAAATAACGCAGGCTTCTCTGCTTCAAACATTGCCGGATGACACCCAAGATTCAAGAGAAGAGAGAGCATTTCGCCTTTGGATTAACAGTCTTGGCAATTCAGCATACATCAACAATGTCTTTGAGGACGTCAGAAATGGGTATGCTTTCTCTACCATACTAATTTTTCTAATAAATGTCGAACAAGAATTGGTTTGTTGATTTTCTTTTGAGATTACATAATGCTTAGTTCACTTTAAAAGTCAATAACTTTTCAACGGATGTCTTTTTTAGTTGTGCTGGAATTAGGAATCCAAGTGACTTTCTAATTGATTTTTGCTGGAGAGTAATTAGGGGTTAGCCAATCTAGATTAAGTCTTTTATTAATCATCATTTTATTTAAACTAATAAGTGAGATATCATTAGATCCCAAATAATATTCTATTAATGAAAGGAAGATTTTGCAAACCCACACGGTATTAGAGCGTGAGGCTTTATGAATTGGGATCTCCACTCATGTTTGGCATACTTGGTGCTTACCACACAACATTATCATTTCTTGACAACAATATACTCTAACTCAGGGTATAACAAGTGAAAATTTCCCAAAGTTAGGAGCCATCAAATGTCTAGATAGTGAGGCTACATAACTGCCACCTAATGATCCAAATTTTGACACATGGTATACATATAGTTTCATAGGGATGACTTGGCTTGTCAACTTGGTCCTGCGTGTGATATCAGACTGAGGTCATGGGTTTGAATCCCCTATGTGTCATTTGATGGGGAAGTTGTTGGAAAGACGGGACTAATATCTCCCTTGTGATTCGTTGGGCACCAACCCATGGCATCGGTTATTAGTGTAATCCCTTTTGCGCCCTGTTTAATAGTTATAGCTTTAGGCCTAGTGGTTAAGCTTGATACGCCAACTTATGGCATCGGTTATTAGTGCAATCCTTTTTGCGCCTTGATTAATAGTTATAGCTTTTGACCTTGTGGTTGAGCTTGATATTACAACAAGTAGTACTAAAGCTACTTACAACAAAGCCTTGTGTGAAGATTATATTGAATCATGTAATTGCACGCCATTAAAAACCTGAAGATTGGGATGCCTTGTTGTTGATCATGGACTTGTGCTTGAGGGGGAGATTGTTAGGATGTTAAATGTGAGTGAACTTGACTTGATACGGAAAGTCTTACATGGATAGTATATGGCTTAGTAAGTGATACAAATGGGTTAAGATATGATGTCAAGCCCACTCATATACTCCCCTTGCTCATGGCCCCAGTTGGTCTCTTCCTCGTTCCAAATAGCTCCTTATTCCACTCCCTTCCTAACAAGTACTACTTGAGCCAGTTTCAACAAAGCCTTACGTAAAGACAATATCGAACCCTGTAACTGCATGCCACTCGAGACCCAATATTGGGCTGTCGTGTGGGTAATCAGGAGTTCACATTCAAGGGAGGTATCGATAAAATTCCAAATGTGAGCAGATTTGATTTGATGTAGGAAATCTCACACCAGATAAAATTAGGTTTAATAAGCGACATATAAATGGAGTGACCTATAAATTCGCTATCTTAATGTTTTGTGTCAGAAAATGGTGTTGAACCTATTTATTTGCATCCTTTCATTGCGTATGACTCAATTGATCTCTTTCTTCTTTTGATATTTTACATTGCTGATATTTCTTCTCTACCCCCATTTTGGTTGTTCCCGATTCTGATTTTATTGAATGCCTTTGTATCTTTTGATCTTTTAAATTATTGAGTTAGGTTAATATTTCTTATCAACAGGTGGGTACTTTTAGAGACCCTTGACAAGGTATCACCAGGGATTGTCAATTGGAAGATTGCTAACAAGCCTCCAATAAAGATGCCGTTCAAGAAAGTAGAAAATTGTAACCAAGTTGTGAAACTAGGGAAACAACTCAGGTTTTCTCTGGTAAACATTGCTGGCAATGATATTGTGCAGGGAAATAAAAAGTTAATACTGGGTACGTTAACCTCCACATTATTTTTTGTTACAAGGTAGAATATAAATCCATTGTAAATTGAATGTATTCCAGCAATTTAAACTCTCATATTACTTCTACCAAACTTTCCAAGATTTGACGATGGCGTTTTTATCTTAGCTTATTTGTGGCAACTGATGCGATACAACATGCTACAACTTCTTAAGAATTTGAGACTTCACACCCATGGAAAGGAGTTAACTGATGCTGATATTCTAGAGTGGGCTAATCTCAAAGTGAGCAGCTCAAGAAGCCAAAGCCGCATGGATAGTTTTAAGGTATCGAATATCTCTCCAATCCTTTCATCTAGAAAAAAAATTTTGGGATTGCTATTTGATACTGGTGGACGAATGCTTTCTGTTTGGCATATGATAATGCATCATAAAAACATCTCATTATTCAAGATACCTTTTATTGAACTGCGTGACGACCTTGCAATGCATGTTGAGACCCACCATTTACAACTTGTCTGTTCGTTTTCTGGCAGATGTGATAAGCAAGTCTACATGGATTTTAGATTTGTGACAAATGGCATCTATTCAGGAATCTGAAATATTAGATTTTGAATATCTTGGTTTCTCTACTGATGGTTACAATGTCTAATTTCAGGATAAAAGCCTGTCGAATGGAATTTTTTTCCTCGAACTTCTTAGTTCCGTGCAGACTAGAGCTGTCGATTGGAGTCTTGTCAAAAAAGGAGTAACTGGTACATTTTCTTTCAACTCTCTTCATGTTCTATGTTTCTGTAATTATTTGCAAGATGATGTCGGCTTTCAGACTGTTATTAGTCCCTCATTAGGGGTAAATTCTGCAACATCTTGATATGAATGGCATACTTTTTTGAGGATTCACTTCTCGACCTCATTACGCAATCATATATTAGAGTTATGCAGTCATTGTCTGGTTTGATTTGAAATTCAAGAAAGTTCTTTTTGCCGTAGTTTTAATTTAAATTTCTGTAAAAATTTTATCAATATATACTTGTGTCATGTAGATGAGGAGAAAAAGATGAACGCGAACTGCATAATCAGCATTGCTAGAAAGCTAGGATGTTCCATATTCTTGTCGTAGTTTTACTTTTTGGAGGATTCACTTCTCAATCTCATTACACAATCATATATTAGAGTTATGCAGTCATTGTCTGGTTTGATTTGAAATTTAAGAATTTTTTTTTTCTTGCCGTAGTTTTGTAGTTTTAATTTAAATATCTGCAAAAATTTCATCAATATATACTTGTGTCCGTCCTGTAGATGAGGAGAAAAAGATGAACGCGACCTATATAATCAGCATTGCTAGAAAGCTAGGATGTTCCATATTCTTGCTTCCTGAAGACATCACTGAGGTAGTTGGAATTTTGATACTGTCTTTTCCTTTCCAACACATCACACAATGAGTTTTAGTCAGAATATTCAACTTTCTCTATTTGTTGACTATACAAATGGATTTGCCTTTATTAATAATCCAAGCTCATAATTTCTCTATTTTGAACTTCATACATTTTCAGGTGAATCAAAAGATGATCCTTACACTGACAGCTAGTATAATGTATTGGTTCTTAAAACACCCTCTTGAAGAAAGGACATTGGGAACTTCGGACAGTGAAAGTGGGAGCCCTCTGGAGACTACATCAGATTCAACACTTGATGACTCTGATTCTGATTCATCCTTATAGGATAAAGGGTTCACGTAAATGGGATTTTGGTGAATGAAATTCTAAGTTTGTATTTAAAATTTTTCATTATCATTGATCAAAAGATCAATGTTTGACACTAGGTAATTCAATGTATCAGGAGGAAGAATTTTTTTCTAGGGATTAGAAATCTTCATTGTTTGCCTTCATTTCAAATTTTATTCTTGTTAATCCTAAATTGCAAGTGTAATTGTAATTAAACTGTTAATCTGTTGAATTCAGTTTTATCCCAAAATCACACCACACTCATAATCTGTTAAGCTATAGTTTCCCAAGTAAAGATGATCAGCCTTCAATGTTATCCATAAATATATTGAACTAGCTTTTTTGTAAAAAACCATCCGATAAAGCATAACGTGGCTTATGTCACCTGCTTAGTTTTCCGCTATCATATATGGCATGCGTGAGGAGGACGAATGTTGCACAGCCAAGCTTATATACATGTACTTTCATGCTCACGAAATATGAATACTAAATATTTTCTCATAAAATACTAGTCTGATTCTAAATATAAGACCCGTTTTATTACTGAAATAGATCCTTTGAAGTTTAAACACATTGGAGTTAGTTGCCCAAAAGAAAATGGAGTTAATGAAGTTGTATATTTATTCTCAGTTACTTTGCAGCGTACAGAGTGCATAATTGGTATCCAAGTCGAAGGTCAATCGTAATTGATCAAATTCTACTTTTTCTCAGGCAAAGACATAACCCTGAACCTCATTCGGTAAGTTCCCTAGCGAGTAGCAAGTAGTGAGATGCTGAGTGCAAAAGAACAGCGCATGAACAAAAGCAAGGTACGAACATTTTGGAAGCAAACAAAGCACGTATGCATTGTATATAACAATTTGATAGACAGATGAGTTGAAACCCTAAAAAAAAAAGGAAAAAGAAAAAAATCACAAGAAACGTTTTTCCATATTCCCCTCAAATGAATTCTTTCATGGTCCGCTAGGATCCCTAAAAAGCTACTACATTAGATTACAAAGACAAAAAACCAAACTTTTCACACTACATAGCATGCATTCAACAATTTTCCAGCCTGACGGCTCTCATCTATTACCATGTAAAGACCACAAGAAGTTACCATATTGTTCATGTTGCCTCAAAACTGCATGAACCTCTTGGCTCTATTCTTCCAGTAGATAAGTAGGTCACAGCCATCATCAATTTATACAATCATCCATGTCAAATGCCGATACCCGGCCCATTTGGCAGCAACACGGATACCAATTGCTAAAGCTGCAGCGAGCAGTGGAATTGGAAGCCTCCTCTTTGCTGTTCCAACTTCAGCAATTTCCTTTCCTTCTGAAAGCGTTCTTGAATGGTGAGAAATAGCCAAGGCAGTAAAAGAAATCAACACGAGAACTCTTATCCAAGGCTCGCCAATGGCAGCAAGTACAGCTGCAACAGGCATTGTGGACGAGACATCGTCTCTCTTTCTAACAAGTCGTGAAAAACCATACAGCCCCACCAGTAGTGTCCAGAAAAAAGGTTCTGAGATATAGCCTTTAACCGCGGCATAGCCAATCAGGCCTGACGCAGTCAACACATACGGTTGGCTGTTGATGCTATTAGGGACAGTAGCTTCTGCAACAGCTAAAACAATTGATGCCAGCATAATGATGATGGTGAGATCTGGTACAGGAGCATACGCAACTATCCCAGAGTAGAAAGCTCGAATGGTATAGAATACATCCTCAACAAATCTAATTGAGAAAGTGATAGGATCCCCAATGAAATGGAAGATTACGGCCAAAATATATTTGAAGACATATCCCATGAAACGAAAAATACCAAGAGCAGCGTTCCTCCAATTTGATAGTTCAAATAAAACAGCTCTCCAAGCATAAATAAGGAAAGCCAGTGCTGTAAATTGATATTTAATCAAAACACGTTAATGTGCATATAAAAGAGAGTAGTTCAAATCTTCTCCTGTTAACACATGAACAGGATGTCATCCAATCACACACACACACACACACAGAGCTGGGGTGAGAGGCTTCTAATTTTAAAAGTTGCTCATTTTTCTTTTCCTAAAACCTAATACTAGAGCATCCTCTACAAAAGAGGATCTGAATTTAAAAGAGAGAAGAGCTGTCGGGTCACAAGTTCCCAAATGGCTACACTAGGACATAGAACTCTTGAAGTCATAACTTCAACAAATCAAGGTTTCCATATTGATGCAGAGAAGCAACATCAAAGGACGGAAACACAGGCATACATGGTGCCAGGATGCCAGGTATGCGTTAACAAAGTGATAAAAATAGTTTATAGATGCAATTTAACTTCTTTCTCTTGATCATTTCTCTGTCAACGAAAATTAAAAAAAAAACCGATTCATTTCAATATAATGAAATGAAGATGAATCAAGTACTATAATATTTCCTATCAATGTGAAGAATCCTTATTTGCATGAGATCTATTTAGAAAGAAGATACAAGCAAGTCTAAAATGTTCTGAAACATTAGAACGAATGTCAAAAGCACACTAACTAAATCAAAATTTAGTGCTCCAAATAATTTCATCCACCTTCTAACATGTCTTTATTGCACAAGAACATATCGCATCATTCCATACATCCATTCATAGAAGTTCCAGATGGAAACAGCGGTATTTGATCCCTCTTCCCAGTAAATATGAAGCAATAGAGGCTCTCTCCCTCTCGCTTTCCACACTCACACACACACACACACACAAACATAGCAGTAAAGGCCAAATGCTGAAGCATGCCAAGTTATGCCACTACATTATGAAAGTAAAGAAATTTTCACGTTTTCCAGCATCCTAATATCCACCACCGTCCAATGAAATCTTCACAAGCCAAACCCTTACCCATAAAACTGTAATGATCTACCATTTGCAGATATTCTAAGGAGGGGAAGATTTCAATTTTCAACACCACGATACTCGATAAAATTACTGTACAACAAATTTGAAAACAGTTAACTGGATGGCCTAAGTTCGTTTCTTTTATCCTCGATTCAAGCATTCTTGTCAAGAACTAACGCGTAAAAGCGAGCATAGTCGCAAAGAGATGAAAGGAGAGTTAAAAAACGAATGACTAACCTACAAACCACGGCCACCGAATAGGGGGGTCAGGAGCTTCTTTAGTCAAGTACCTAAACCGCTCAGGCATGGTACTCTGGGCTCGAGCTTCCTTCTCAGCCTGATCGAAGTCAAGGCTAGAAGCTTCGCTAACTCCGTTATTAAGCTCCCTTTCGTTGTCCCTTGCGTTCACAGAAACCCCTAGATGCCTCCCCATTGAAAATCTAGGTATTTTACCTGAAATCCCAATATAATTCCATCTACACTGACCCGTACACGCTCGGGTTGCCGTCGGAAATGAGGCATTTGAAATTACAGCGCGGCCTATACGGACATGTGGGTGGGAAAAGGAAGAGACTGCGGCTAGAGGGGCATGGCGTTTGAAGGAAAAGCTCGGAGAAGAAACAGCTGGTATTGTAATCGGCATGAAGAAGAATGAGTAGGGAGTTCAGTGAAGATGAACCAAGCCTTAGTGCCCCCGGGAGGAGTATCCACTCCAAAAGCTCACTAGAAATATTTACTGTTAATGACTATGACATGATGATAGCAATGAACCAAGAAGACGGGCTAGACTTCAACATGAACGCTGGCGTCTCTCACATATGGGCTAGACCGCTAAAGGAGCTGCCAGCTAACCTGCCGCCCTCTTTTCTTTTTTTTTTTAATGGTTTTTGAGCCAAAAGTAGCTACTACCTCCTGTTCTTAGGGGGTATTTGGGTCATAATCCAAATCATGATTTGAGAAAAAATTACCTAAACACCCTTAAAAAAACTAAAACTATGATTTTTGGAAAAAGCAAAATTTTTTTGCTTTTGAAAAAAAAAAGAGAGTATGAGAGCCTATAGGATATGTATCTTGTTGTTTTTTTTATAAACATATTTTTTATAAATATATTTAATCTTATATCTTATAAATATATACATATTAATTAATTATTAATTATATTATCTTATGTATTATTAATTATGTTAATAAAAAAATATATTATTAACAATTTTATTCCTTCAAATTAAAATATATCATAAAATATATTTTTTCTATAATTATCATATTAACTTATGCCTTTTTTAGTAATTTGTACATGTAAAAAGTGCTTCTGGTAACAACTATCCAAACACTCTCACTTCTCAGAATCACTTTTTCACAAAATCTATTCTTCAAAAAATCTATTCTCCCTAGAATCTATTCTCCAGAAGCTATTTTCCAAACCATGGTTTGGTTATATCCAAACACCCCCTTAATATAAAACCTTATTTGATTTTTATTTTGGTCTTAAATATAAGACCCCAATCTACTTTGTCTCTCATATTTATACTTTTTTTTTCAAAGTAACCCTTTTAACAATGATAGTTCTAGTCAATAGTCTTGATTAGCAAGGATATTTTAGAAAAGTCAACACCTATTTAGGACAAATAACTAACTCAACTTACTTTCTTAATTTCCTTAAATTAATTAACTGGCTCTTATAATTAGGGTCGGAGGTAGTACCTGTTTTCAAATTCCTAGCTTTTATGCCTCATTTGAGCAGGCTAATGAGTCAGAGTAGAGTTGACATGAAGACCAAATCAGTAAAAAAATTAAAAAAATTGAAAAAAAATTTAAATTTTTATTATACTATTCAAAGACTAAATATCAATTCAATACGTTGAATTCGTAACCAAATAATCACATGCTTAGAGTTTATGTTCAACGTTCTTCATAATTTTTTTGACAAATTGAAATTATAATATCGTACTACTAAAACCACTTAGCATTTATTGTATCAAAATATTTTGTTATAAAATAAAGGAAAAATCATAAAAAAAAAAAGAGTGTCAAATAATAAAAAATTGCAAATAAGGACACATGACAACAATAGTATGGGTTTTGACAACAATTATTGTAAACAGGTTCCTGTGTATAATTTTTCTATTTCGGTAGTTTTTTTTTACAATTTTTTCTAAGATAAATGGTAGAATATGGAGGAAAAGTAGAGAACACAACAGACTATTTCTTATTCTATTTGAGGTATTCAACATATGATATAGACCCTCTACTTATAGGCATAACTTTACATCTTCAACAGAATCTGCAGATTCCATAATAATAGGAGATAATTGTGGATAATGGGAGATAAGAGAGATAATGATAGATACATGGACATTCACAAAGATATTATATTCACAACATTCAACCTTGGATGTCCATAACTAAATATGTGTCTTATTAAAAAAACTTATACTAAGAAAACCTTATGGAACAAAACCTAGTAGAAGAAAAAAGCTACAACATTTATTGATATATTTTATAGTATTGCTTTGTTAAAAGCCTTGCTAGAAAAACCTAATGAGAAAAATCATAAATAAGAAAAAAGAATACAACATGTATTTACTCTCCTTTTTAACAACGTCAGTTGATATCTCTGAGTCTGTGAAACTCAATGTCATGAAAAAGCCTCTTGAACGTGGTGGTTGGAAGTAATTTGGTGAATAGGTCTACTAAATTTTCATTGGAATGAATTTCTTGGATATTAACTTCACTATCCTTTTAAATGTCACGAGTGAAGAAGAATTTTGGAGAGATATGCTTTGTTCTATCTCCTTTGATGTACCCTTCCTTTAGTTAGGCAATACATGTAGTATTATCTTCGTATAAGATTGTTAGGATCACTTTACTAGAAAATCAGTCACAAGTAGTTTGCATGTAATGTATTAAGGATCTTAACCATATCTTGCTAAAAAGTTGGTGAAGAATTATATCTTGCTAACAAGTTAAATGCAAATGATATATCAGGTCATGTATGATTTGCAAGATATATTAGTGCTCCAATTACACTAAGATATGGTACTTCTGGACCAAGTAGCTCTTCATTACCCTTTTCTCCAGTTTCTTGAGGTCTAAAAGGGTCCTCATCCACCTCCAAAGACCTTACAATCTTTGGAGTACATAATAGATGTGATTTGTGCATATAAAAATTTTTTAGGACCTTTTTGTATAAGTTTCTTGGTATACAAAGATTCCATTTTTCAAATACTCAATTTGTAATCCAGGATAAAATTTTGGTCTTCCTATGTCTTTCATTTCAAATTCTTTCTTAGGCAATTCACCGCCTTTTCAAGCCCTTCAAAAGTTCCAATGATATTTATACCATCAACATAAACGGTGATGATAGCAAACTCATTTCCTAATCTTTTCATAAAAATGCATTGGCATATTGCATTATTTTTACACCCTTCCTTCAAGAGATACTAAGCCAGTTATAGCATATACGTCCTGATTGCTCTAATCCATATAGGGATTTATTTAACTTGATTGAGTATCATTCTTAAGAGTTTGAATTGTAAGCTTCTGGCAACTTTAACCCTTTAGGGAGTCTCATGTAAATGTCATTATCAAGTGAGTCATATAAATAGGTTATAATGACATCCATTATTAGATGTAGATTGAGCCTTTCATTTACTGCGAGACTAATCAAGTATTGAAAAGTACATGTATCTACCACTGGTGAATATGTTTCTTCAAAATCAACACCAGGTCTTTGTGTAAACCCTTGGACAATAAGTCGTACTTTATATCTTATCATTTCATCTTTTTCATTTCTCTTTCGAAAAAAAACCCATTTGTATCCAACTGGTTTTTCATTTTCAAGTCTAAGGACTATCAGTCCAAAAACTTTTTACTGTTCTAGTGATTTTAATTTTGTCTCAATTGTATCTTTTCATTTTGACCAATCATTTCTATGTTTGCATTCACTAAATTGACTTTGGTTCATGATTCTCATTATTATTCATCACATCAAGCACTACATTATAAGCAAAAGTATCATCGATATCGATTTCATTTCGGTCCAATCAAATCCCATTCATAATATAATTGATTGAGATCTCATCATTTTCACATATTTCAGGTACCTGACTTTCTTTGAGAATGGGGACGTTAGCATTTTCTAGTGACTCCTCTGGAGTTGCTAACTTTTTTGGGTTATTCTTGACTAGTGTAACATCCAGACTTTTAGGCCTAGAAGTTTCAGAAATAGCCTAAATTAAATAGGTTACCAGACCCCTGTGAGCAGAACTCCCAAAGATGAAAAAGGAAGTTAAAGCAGTTTCAGGGACTACACTGCAAAGTAAAAGTTTTCAGGGGCTCGACTATAATTAAGGTTAGAGGCTCTAGTAAAGTCTCGAAGGCCCAGAGAGAGAGAAAAGAGACTAGACACAGGCCAAATGTTAAGTTAGAAACCTCAAAGAGAGGATTAATGAAGTTAAGTCCAAGCAGGGACTAAATTGTAAATTCCGAAAGTTATGACCAATAGGGGTAAAAATGGAAGAGGGTACAGAAAATTCTAAGAAAAATCCTAGAAAATGGGAAATAATATTCTAAGACTCTTCTGTGAAGAGAAATGACAAAAATACCCCTGAGGCAGCTTAAATGGAATTTATGAGGTTGTGACCGGTAAAAAGTATACCGTTTGAGGTAATTATTTAAAATAGCAAGAGACCTCAAAAATGTATACAAAAATGAGATTAAATGGTTGGAATGTTGTACTAATTTATAAAATTAGTCCCGCAACCAAAAGGCCAGTGGAGTGGCTTTAATAAATTAAAGAGCCGGTTTTACCGTTAAAAGGGTATTTTAGTAAACAACTTTTATACAAGGCTTAAAGGAAGTGTTATGGCCTGAGAAAATTCATAGGTATTCTATAGGATGAAGGGAAATTTACGAAGTAGATAGAAGAATTTTCTGAACCCCGGAAGGCCATAAAGAAAGCCGGAGAAATGTGGGCCAAGTAAATTCGGAGGAAGCTTATGAAACAAGTTTGATCCAACGGCTAGGATCTAATCTCCCATCTCCTCCACCACTTTCATGACACTTGGCATCTTCTAGAAGGTTGAGGTAAGCATGATGTAATAAGATGATGCAATGATGATGCAAAAGTCCACTTGAACTTCCAAATTTGCCCTTACCCTTTCTATTAGCCACCAAGGGCATTTTGGTCCATTCAAGCCAACTTTTTGGCTATAAATAGGCACTCTCCCTCCCCCCATTTCGGCCAAGCTGATAAACATAAGGGGAAACTCTTACAATTTTGATTCTTGAAGCTTAAATCAAGAGAAAGACACCTACTTTGATCAACCGAGTTTGGATCTAAGGTTAGTAAGTTGTTCCCTCTTGTTTATTGCTTTGAATCTTTGGTTTTATGGTTAAAAAAATGTGAGATCCCCTAAGAGGAGGTGCTGG